GTTCGACCAATCGGGGAATGTTTATTTGGGGCATACATCTATTTTTACTGCAGATTTTGGCAAGTTTTAATCGAAATTAGAGAAAAATGGAATGATGTTGGGAGATATAAAACAGAAAATGATAAATATTTTTAGCAAAAGATGAATTGGATCGGGGTTCTGTGTAATCACATTATTTGTACAACTCTCCTTACTGATGGCAAAAAATGGAATTTCCGTGACCTAAATGGTTCGCGAAAATTAATATTTTTATATATATATAGTAATAATATTGCAAGTTAGACTGCGATTTATCTGACATTTTCAGCTCAGCTCTCTACCCTTGTATATCATAAAACCGGGTATTAAACAAACTGAAGTAGATGTATTAAGTGCAATACTAATATTTTATCTCGGTAAGAAGTTGGGAATGTGTCAAAAGGCTATCAGTTCAACTACTGATAAGCCTATTGCAATTTAAATGTACTTTTGTTTTAAAAGGCGACCCCGGGTGGTGGCCGATATTGATTTGTAGTTAGCTTGGTGTCATGTTTCATAATTTGGAATTTTTTCATTGATGTAAAATGTAGGAGGCCATGCAACAAAAGAAACATGACGGTGCATTTATTGGTTAAATTTGGTGTTCATCATGATATTGTAGTCTCACTGTTTGGCAGTCATCGAACATTTTCTCTTCCATATGAAACAAAATTATATTGTGGTCAAGTTATCATCGTACTGATGATTCACAATCTTTAAACGCCTCACATTTGTTCTGATGAAAATACAATAATGAGCAAGGATAACTATATTTTTTCTTATTTATACATGTTAAAACATACTTTGGTCAAATTGTTTTATAAAAAGACCATAAACCCACTTATTCATGGTATGGTATCAATATTTCTGACCTGACACTACGTACTTTTTATTGCTTAATTCTTTAGAATTTAATATGCAATGTTTCGGGTTCTTTCGGGAATAATCCCAGGTAAACCCTCATCAGAGGCCGACCTTTATATATTTATTTTATATCTAGTATAGTAGATAGATGTGTGTCTGTTTCATAACAGTTTTTTTTCAAATTTACTACACGTGCATATAGGTCTACGTTGTAGCTAGTCTTTTTACAGACTAAAGAAACTGACCAAGTAGATCAGCACCTTTGGTTAATTATTCATATATATAATGAAAAGACTTATTGTCTTTATTCTCGTAATCTAATCTATCATAAATCTACACGAGATCTAATAGAGATAGTAGTTATCAGTGCTATACTGTTGAATTCACACTAGACTGTCGTGTATGTTTTAACACCTATTTGATAATATATAAATGTCTCCATGTTTAACAATTGAAGAGGTTTGTGTAGATACCATGTCGGGTCTATGCATGAATATAACAGGAACCATTCTGTTTTCCCTTGTACGTGATCTCTTAAAATAAATCGGCATCACGTCTTTTTACATCTGTTTCACAGTATAATGATTGTATACTAAAGCCTCCCGTGGTGGGGTATTGTGAATCAATGTCTTCGGCTTAATGATTAATTATCATGTTGCCAATATTCTTATTGTTTTTTAAACCAATATCTGTATTGGATTTAGATAGTTTTTTTTTTTATTTAGTTTTTTTTTGGCAATCGGATCTTTCCGAATTATATACCAAATTTTGTTATTACCGTGTTAAGATATTCAAGATATTTCTGCCACTTGTTTTCTACTATTTGGTTTCTTTCGAAGTTGCTATCTGCATCTATCCTAACTTAGCCTAACTGTTTTGTTAGGGAGAAATCCGCACGACATTTACACTTTAGACCGTATTTATACGTTTATCTTATAAGTACATGTTGCTATTGTTTCTAAGAATTCTCGTACCTTCAGAAGGAATGAAAACAATGTACTGTTTCAAATAGTTGTTCACTTTGTTCACCTTCTTCATTAAATATATTAAATCCATCAATTCTCATTCTTTAGTGGAATTTAATATTATTTTCGTAGGGTATTTCTCTGTTTTATGTCTATAATTATGGTTAATTATAGCAATATCAGATATTTCCAGGGAGGCAACTCTGCCCATTGAAACGCCAACGATCCGTTGCTAGTATAATAGTATAACTTTCGTTGTTCATTGACAATCATATTTATTTGTTATTAGTTTCCATGTAACCTTCAACGGCTTGACATAATAATTATTATCGATATTAGTTGCTTAACGTCCTGTTGCCAATATTTCATGTATGTTTAGGACTGTGATATAGTGATGACATAAGGTTGTTTGCTAGTATAATAGTATAACTTCCATAGTTCGTTGACAATCATATTAGTTGTAGTTAGTTTCCATGCTACCTTCTAAGGTTTGACATGATACAGCGATAAATTAACGATTTTTGGTTGCTTAGCATCCAGTGGCAAATATTTCATGTATGTTAAGGAATATGATATGGTGATGACATAAGATTGTTTGCTAGTATAATAGTATAACTTCCATAGTTCATTGACAATCATATTAATTTGTAGTTAGTTTCCATGCTACCTTGTAAGGTTTGACATGATATAGCGATAAATTAAAGATTGTTAGTTGCTAAGCATCCAGTGGCAAATATTTCATGTATGTTTAGGACTATGATATAGTGATGACATAAGGTTGTTTGCTAGTATAATAGTACAACTTCCATAGTTCCTTGACAATCATATGAGTTTGTAGTAAGTAAGTAAGTTTTCATGCTACCTTCTAAGGTTAAAACAACCACCATAATAAATCAAAACATAAAATGAATACGAGTGGTGATTCTGTTTTTGTGCAAATTATGTAGGGGAGCAGGTACATAGCTTTTACTTTTGATAAAACATTAATAACTAAAATGGGTCTCTGAAGCAAATGAAAAGAAATGGTAACACAAAGAGCTCGAAAATGTAATGACTCTTGCCCATTTTTGTCGAGCCTTCGACTTTTGTCGAAAAAGCGAGACATAGCGATCCTACATCCCGTCGTCGGCGTCGTCGTCGTTGTTGTCGTCGTTGTTGTCGTCGTCGGCGGCGTCCACAAATATTCACTCTGTGGTTAAAGTTTTTGAAATTTTAATAACTTTCTTAAACTATCCTGGATTTCTACCAAATTTGGACAGAAGCTTATTTATGATCATAAGATAATATTCAAAGTAAATTTTGTAAAAAAAAAAGGCCATTTTTTTCCGTATTTAACTTATAAATGGACTTGGTTTTTCTGCCAGGAAACATTACATTCACACTGTGGTTAAAGTTTTTGAAATTTTAATAACTTTCTTAAACTATGCTGGATTTTTACCAAACATGGACAGAAGCTACTTACAATCAAAAGATAGTATAGAGAGGAATATTTTTATTAATTTTTTCCTCATTTTTGTTGAGCGATTAACAGCAAAAGTAGGCGAGACACTGGGTTCCGCGGAACCCTTACAAATTTTATCACTTATGAGCTAGTTCGCTCTCACAGTTTCTTGTTGTTGTTTGTACTTTTGCTCGATAAAGTCCAAATTAAAAAATCAAACAAGAATACATACTGTAATTAACAAACAGTGAATCTTATTTCGAACAACAATGATTGAAATGTCAATTTTGTTCATTAAAAAGAGTTTCCATTTTTTATTCAGTAATGTGATGTTTGATATTATCTAAGCACATAGACATTATTTCAATCATAAAACTATTCAGGACCTTACATTAATCATTCTTAGATCATTTATGATTAAAATTCTTCATTTCACAAACACTGACACAAAATTATCTTATGTTAGGATGACTTCTAGTGAAGCAAGTCTAAGTTATTGAATTTGTTTAGAACCCAACGTTGACATTCTGTCAAATATTACCTAGGTCTACGAATTGAAGAATATTAATTGGTCCAATAAGCAGGTTATTTTCTCAATCTGACGTGGGTAATATATATTTTCTTTCAAGCTATTCACTCCTTCTCGAAAGTGGACTTTTAAAACATATTACGTGGTATTTAAAATAATATAAGTGTCATGCCATTAGCTTTTGTATACTTATTTAACTTTTCACCATACCGTCAACTTATTTTTCATCGATTAGAATGTAGTGATTGTCCCTACATATTATTTAGCCGAGTCCTTATTCAACGACTGGATTTAATTGCTTAAAGTAGTCCTAGTACTCAAGTTATCAAAGCATATACAATTGTATTGTTATGAACACTTTTAAGAATAATAATAGATGAAAAAGATAACAGAAATTACTAAAATATTAGACAGCACAACGACCAAAGTCAAACACGAACACCCAACTCCTTGAGCCCAACTCCTTTAAAAGACAAATCGACATACATAGACGAAAACAACAGACAGCACTATTTGTTTCATAATCAGACTCTCGTTTATAGTGTGACTCTGTTAAGTGAAAATGGTGACATTACAAAAAATATATTAACGAATTGGCGTAAGACAGTTAGTTCCTTTTGGTGACTTGTTAAAGTTTTCGACATTACTATATACAAAAAAGAGCGTGCATGGATACAAACTACTATATTATTAAAGTGTACCATTGTATGTATCAACATCCCTGATATTAACTGTTTTCTCTGTAGTTATCTCTATCAGTTCCTGTCATTCTAAAATGAATGACCTACGGTCACAATTGTCCTCTTTAAACAATTTTGTCATATTCATTTTTTTTTATATGTGTCGAAGAACATATAGTTCGCGTACTTATCGTGGTCTTTCCGATCAAACTTGCTAATGACTAAATTATCTAATACCTGTCTGACATAACGGAAGAAAAGAAGTGTTGAATCATAAACATTAAATCGATTGATTGATAACGATTTGACCCAGCGTCAGTACACATGGGCAATGCCGCGGTGAGAACAACTATTATTCAAATGACGCTTGTATAATCTTTACTGGCAGACACCGACAATACCAAGGTGCATGCATGAAAATATGTAGATGCCACTCGCCTAAAATTAACTAAAACATATGGTGTGCCTATAAACAATGCAACACTGTATCTTGTATTTTTCAGGTCTTGTGAAGGAATTAGATCTACACAAGTACGACAGTGCAACGAAATATTTGAATTCGCACGAAACTTACATTTTAGTACAGAAAGAACAACTACAAGACAACTTATCGGTTGATTCTGGTTCTCCAATTGATTCGAAGAATTATCAATACACTCCTTTATTAGAACAATACGAAAACTTGTTTCCAAACTTTAAAGTACATGTAGACCATATAGCGACACCTAAAATTAAAAAACGAGGTGGAAAATCCCCAAGTCCAGCCGGCAGGTTTACGTCAAAACCGAAGAAAACCACAGAATCGGGAACATCAAAAAAGACGAGTGGAAAAAAGAAGTGAAATTAGTATTTTGTGCAATCGGCCTGGTAGTACAATCCTACATTTTAGATTTTATATATCTACAAATATTGATCGAACTTTAACTAGTATACTTAACAGAAACCTAATTTCAAGTAATGTATCAATTTTATTTTTCTAGTGTTTAAAATTACAAAGAAAACAAAGAAGTTTGAGAATATAATTGACGATAGTTTCCTGACAAAAAATGACGTATAGCTAATTACATGTAATTGTGACACTAGGTTTTACTAGTATGAACATTTTAGTTAAAACTTTCTGACCACCATAATGAAATGGGATTCTAAAACTTTGATGAAGTTGTTGGGTTTATTGTTTTATGAGCATATGTGCCCCTTCACAAAAATATATTGTTACACATTGTTAACACCTGTACATTAACATACATGTTGTATGTTTGACGTGTCTAATAATTCCCTAAAGAATAATGCATGCCGATATCTGTTCACGTAGACACATACAATGGAAGGAAACAAAACTCCAAACGGACCAAGATCAGGTGCATCAAAAGGTAAAGTGTCTTCTGTTCATGAATGCACCGAAATAGAAAACTTTTTCTTCAACTAGTATATGACCTCACATTGTACAAAAGCGACTATAAAAGTTACGAAATACACGATGACAAGCATTTTCCATTAAATATCAAGAAAACATGGTTTTATTGCTGAGACAGGTAGATAGCCTTAATCTTTTAATTAAGATCAACGAACAGTAAATGGGCAAATGGGCAATGTCACAGATTTTTCTAAAATTTTGCATACAAATCTGGCTCGTTAAACTATAACTGAAAATCGAAAAAATAATGCATTTACCTCTTTTATTATCTGAATTATTACTGATTGAAAGCACATGAAATCAGCGAAAAACCTTCTCAAATTTGTCCTAAGATCATCAAATCTCTTACTTCTTACTGTAATACATAGATTTTTATAAATTTCCGTTTTAATGATATAAAATAATCATATGGTCACCGACTTTGTTTTTGTCTGATAATCAATCTGTTACTAGTTGGTAGTGAAAAACGTTAAAAATTAACGTTTTACGGCCTGCAACGCGATGACTAAAATACGTTTCGACGTTTTGTGGTATTTTTCCACATAGAACACCACTTTGACTGATGTATACCGTAAAATTGAAGTCGTTGACCCTATCATTATTTTACATCATCAAAACGGAAATTTATGTATCAACAACATATAGTTTTTTTAAGAAAAATCTATGTATTAGAATTAAGAGATTTGATGATTTAAAGACAAATTTAAGGTTTTTCGCCTATTTTATGTGCTTTCTATACAAATGTTCACCTTTTTAGAAAGAATTCAATCAGTAATATTTCAGATGATAAAGGAGATACATGCAATATCTTTTCGATTTGCAGTTATAGTTCAACGAGCCAGAGTTGTATGCAAAAATTTTACCAAAATCTGTGACATAGCCCATTTAGCTTAACTTGACCTTAATAAACTCACACTGACTCTGTAAGATTAAAGCGACTTAAGGATAGAACTTTCTATATGGATGTTTCTTTTCTTTTGTTTACATTCCAGTTCATATTAGCTACTTGTGGACAATTATGCCGGTAAGTATTCACTTTATGAAAATAAACCCAGCAACATTAACCCAATAGTCACTATCCACATTGAACTGTGTCCACACTTGCTTAACAAAAATACGTTTTCTTTTTTTACCTGGACCATGATTACCAATCCCTTTTTTTTTAAAGAAAGAATTTACAGATGGTCTACAGATATTTTAGTCAGTTCAAATGAAGAAAAGGAGTACAGGCGATTCAAATTGTATCTGTTTCACTCGCAGGGTAAATCATCAGGAGGTAGTTTTAACCTAATGGAATTAAAAAGATTTTTCAACAATTTTACATACATCCATAAAATTCAGACACATATTGCTCTTGAAGGTTATATCGATAATTTCGATTCAATAGTCATTTTTAGACGTTTTGTAAAAAAAAAGCACAGAAAGACACCCATAACCAGAGACATATATTAATAATTGTATTATATGTCTAGAGATAACTAAATGAAAGACCAAATATCGCTTGACATCCGATTGAATATTAATGTGGGTTAAGAATATCCTTCCTTCTCTTTCATTTTTTGATATTTATTTGGATAGATATTAAAAATTTGTTAAAATATCTCGAACATGTAGCTCTCTGAGTCAACTTTCAGCATGTTTAACATAATCACATTGTAAGTATGACACAATGTTGTTTAAACCTTGAAATAATTGTTATGCTGATAATTTCACTAAAGCTGACTAGAAAGTGTCCCTCGTGTGAAATAAATAAAGGGGATATTGACCCCATCTCTGTTGCAATTGACCAGTTAAAATAACAAATGAATCTTGCCATCCTTCGTTTTTTCATTTTTGTTTTACCGGAACAGACCGATGACTGGATAGCTGATCAATGTACAGTGACAAATATAACATACATAACAATCATGTATCCGTACGGAAGCATATTAAAAACCATACTTTTGACAAGACAGACTTTTAACGTGCTAATTCACCGTTGAAGGTATAGTCCATGTCACCCTACGTGGACACATAATTCTGACTGAGTTGACCAGTCTGGTTTGCTCTTACATCAAAATGACACTTGCATAGATGGCACTCTACCACGAGACCAGGGCCGTAGCTAGGTATCCAATCAAGTGTATGCACAACTTGCTGCAGGGGGTCTAGGGGCCGCTTAAGGCCCCCAGCAGGTCCAGGGCAGAGCCCTGGTAGGGGGTTCAGGGGGGAGGGGGCTTCCCGACGTGAAACGGTTTTTTAGCATTTTAGTTGCAGAATTTTGTGTACAAAAAATATTATATTTACTGGTTATTTTATCATGATAATAGACATGAAGAAAAGTTCGAAGAATTATAAATAATTGGTGAATTAGAGCAGTACGATCGGAAATCTAAAAAAAAAAATTGTATTTCCAATATGCATTGCCAAGCGTAGATCAGCGCAGCCCTTTAATTAAGCAGTACATCCTATTTAGTATTTTCATATCTATTCCTTTCTGATTGAGGATAGTTGATACATACGTTAATTGATAGTACATATTGACGATCCTTAATTAAAAGAATAGGCACGTAAACACTGAGATTACTATATATAATAATACTATCCTTTGGGCTAGACATCGACCATCCATCTTTTGATTCTTAAACCTTCACCCCGGCCACACAAACACATACACTCACACACAGTTGATGAAAATATAATCTTCTATTGGTGTAAACTGGAACCAATTTGGTATTACTGTCATCATGCACGTGACATGATTATCACCACTTGTTTTAATGAACATGTGTACTAAGTTTCAAACTTAATGGTAAACTATCTTAAACTAAAACTTTAATTTGATTCAGGTTGGAAAAATTGACAAAAGGACGGACAGACTGACAAACCTAAAAACATTTAGGGTCCTACCTATCTTAGGAGCAGATTGTATGACAGTTTGGATCACATGGATCATGTAGTTTCAGAGAAGAAAATAAAAAAAAATGTGGTTTACTACAGTTACATGAGAACCTATGATCGTTTATCTAAAATCTTTTTCAACAATATTTATTCAAGATAAATTGAACTGGATTGTTGATAATTACACCACCATAACGGAGACTACTATAACACAGTAGCACAAAGTCAGCATGCAGATGTGTCCAAATTGTTAATGTTTCATGGTAAACCAAAACTACATGTATCACATAGATGAAGTCAAGGTCAGATGTACCTTACTAGATATACATGTACACCATACAATTATTCCATACACCAAATATAATTACAGGTAACCTATTGCTTATAGCATCTGAGAAGCATACCTTACCATGAAGACTAAATATTGAACAATGAATCATGAAAAATGAGGCCAATGTTAGATGAAACCTGCCCGACAGACATTTACAATCATGTCATGCACCAAATATAGTTGACCCATTGCTCATTGTATCCGAGAAACAGACAAAAGCACAAACACTTATTATCAACCAATGAACTACCCAAGCTCAAAAAACTTAACCATGATCACTGACCAATGAAACTAGGTCAATGTCAGGTGAACACTGTCTGACGGATTTGTAGCCATATATTAAATAAAAGTTATCCTATTACTTATGATAATGATAAATTCAGAAAAAACATTTTTTTTAAATTGTCTCTGAATTATGAAAATGAGGACTAGGACCATGGAAATTTGACAAACGGAAACTTTGTAATATAAGGCATTTGTATACGAGGTAGTATAGTATGAAGCATCCATTCTACCTTTTAAATTTTAAAGTTTTATACAAAAAGTTTACATTTTCCCCATCACTGGATTAGCACCTTTTTGTCTTGCATTCTATGACTTACTTCAAAGCAAGACAAAATCAGAATCCTGTATCTCATTACTAAAAATGTATATGCAAGATGTGCAGGTGCTCTAAGAATGTTGCCTAATACAAACCAGAATACTACAATGAAACACTTGAAAATCACCCCATTTATCACAAGTGTTCACCTGGCTTCCTCAAAAAGGCAACAAATGGACCAGGAGACTTTTGAATCTACGTAGCATTCTTTATACAGACCTCCTTGAAATATGATGTCTACCAAAAAAGTCCAGATTTCAATTACAAGATCTCAAGGAACTTTTTTGTTTACAAAGTAAAACTACCAAGAATTAGATTCTAGTGTTAAAAAAATGAAGTTGGACTTAAAATTTTAATTAAGTTTAATAAAAAGATTGTGTTCATAGCTGTGCCTTAAATTGTTCCAACACTAGTATTGCCAAGGTGACAAACCAACATTTCAAATACTTATTTACTTCTAATGGATCTTTCAGCATTTACAGCTTATTGGAGACATTTTGAATATTGTTAAAATTTTTGTCTCTTCAATGCAAATTTAACACTATTATGAGAAAAAGGTAAATTTTACAGACAAAAAAATCATCTCTCTGTCTCTTCAAATTTGCATTTATACCCCCTTTACAAAGAAGAAGATATACTGGTTTTCCTAGGCCAGTCCCTCTGTCAGTCCATAAAACATCTCTTTCAAATCTATCTCAGCAACTACAAGTGACAACTTTGATATATGACACCAAGCTTCATATGGTTATATCCCTTTGATATGTTTTCAGTTCCTTCAATAGTGTTTGTTGAAGAAAAAACAAATTATATTTAAGATATCATGTTTAAATATTTCATTTTGGTCACATATATCTCAGCATTAAAAAGGTCAGTCTCGTGATATATCTTATATAAAAGTTCATCTGGTTATCCAATATGATATCAGTTC